ACAATAATGCCACAGAATTCGTTTATTTTCTCCATTGCTTACCTAGCCATTTGAAATTTGGATATGTAAACAACATCTGTGCAAATAAAGATTAACTTTACAAGAAAAAGGACAATGGATGTCCTGATAGAGGAGGGAAAAAGACTCATTTCAGACACTCATCAAAATTGTAGGCCTCAGTAAACTCTAGTGGTTAGAATTCTAAATGCAGGAACTCATAACGTTTAGTAGAAAAGGAAAAAAGACTGAAGCAATCATCAGAATCTGTGATGCAAGGTTTATTTTAAAAATAGCCTTGAGCTATATCCCATAGACAACCTCTTTGTCTAAATCAAAATCTCACACAGGGCACTGTAACTTGTCTTTCTTTTACAGGAGCTCATGTATGGAAGCATCCTTAATCCTTACCCCGAGTCCTCTACTGTGGCTGCCAATAAATGCTTTGCATTGGCTGTTCAATGAAACTCTGTTTCTTTGGGGCCCTCTCATGAAGTGTAATCTTTGCAGACAGAGCTAAAGAGAAGCTGCCCCCCATGCACCCTTCATGTGAAAAAAGAGCTACACTGTAAATATCACAGCTGTGAGTAGTGCATAGAATTGGGGTGAATGCACCTTTATTGCCTACAGCTTCATTTTCTCATTTTTCTGAACAAAGCAGACTCAAGTACACAAATGATATAACTACTACTGAGAGCAACCCCATTTTCAGAGACTAAAAACTGATGCAATGGAGAAAATGGACAAAAACGGAAGGATAAACAGACTGAGGCCTATAGTGAGCCATTTTATGTAAGTCCTTCAGCATTTCTGAAGTTACGCATTTCTTTTGGCTTTCTTGTATCACAGGATAAAAAGTCATCTCCAATCACATACAGGGTTGAGATTATATACACTAAATTTGGGGTAATTCTATATTAGACCTCAATCTGACAGTTAAAAATCAATTGATCATTGATCTAAAAACCAACAACAGTGGTTTCCTAGGTTATGATCACTTGTACCTAATTACATTTATTACATGTAAGTAATCTAATGTACACACACACACACACACACACCTTTAAAAAGAGCACATTTCCCAAAGTTGTCAATTTTGTTCATCATTTTCAAGAAGAAAACATATAAAACAGCATGAATTATTGATTACTCGGAGCTGTTTAAAAATGTTCTACTAGATACTCAAACCATTTCCACAATCAAAAGAAGGCTTCTTCTATTAAAAAACTATCCTGGTTAAAAATGGAAATGAAAGGAATAAACATTTTTTAAAATATTATACATCTCAAATGAAAAAAGGGGAAGTTGACACCAATGACTATAAATTAACCATAATAAATACAGACAATTGATAAAAAAAATGCAAACAACTCTATGGCCAGCATGGTTAAGGACAAAAAGAAGGGACTTATAAAAAACAAAAAAACCCTTTCAGAAACAATTCTAGAAATAGAATAGGTCCATTACTAGATAGCGATGAACTAAATGTCAATAATAATGCAGAAATGGCAGTAGTGTTATATAGTATAAACATTTCTGTTCTGTATTTTGGAAAGAAGCTGGATGATGTAGTCGCTACTTATGGTCATAATAAAATACTTGCTATTCCAACAATAACTAGGCAGGATGTTAAACAGCAACAACTAAGTTAAACATATTTAGATCTGAAGTACCAGACAACTTGCCCCCAAGATTTTTTTTTTTTTTAAGTTGACCAAGATGCTCTGTGATCCACTAAGGTTGATTATTTAAGTAATCTTGGAATACTGGGGAAGTTCTGGAGGAATGGAAAGAAGCTAATATTGTGCCAATTTTTAAACTGTGTAAATGGCATGACCCAGGTAGTTATCAATTAGTTTGATGTGACCCCAGGCAAAATTGATGGAAGGGCCGATACAGGATGCAATCAAAGTATTGAAGGCTGTAGCATAATTAATGCCAGTCAACAAAGTTTTATGGAAAATAGGTCTTGTTAAACAAACTTGACATTGTTTTTTGATGAGAGAGTTTGGTTGACTAAGGCAACTGCATTAATATAGTTAGACTTCTCTAAGCCATTTTTCTTAGTGCCATGTGACACATGACTTTCTGAACATAAAATAAACACTATTAAAAAAATCTAAACAATGTAGCACATATTAAATGGACTAAAAACTGGCTGATAAGATTTAAAAAAACAACTGTAAATGTGGAATGATCATCAATGGGGTATTTTTAGTGGTCCCTCACAGGGGTCTGCTCTGCGCCCAATGCTAAGCAAGATCTTTATCAATGATATGCAAGTAAAGCTGGCAGATGACACAGAAGTGTTGGAGAGATAAATTATAAGAATAGGTTCATTCCATACAATGATCTGGATCACTTAAACAACCTATGGTTTAATACAGCAAAATGCAATGTACACCTCTAGCTCGATATAACGCTGTTCTCGGGAGCCAAAAAAACTTACCGTGTTATAGGTGAAACCGTGTTACATCGAACTTGCTTTGATCCACCGGAATGCGCTGCTCCGCCCCCCCGGAGCACTACTTTACCGCGTTATATCCGAATTTGAGTTATATCGGGGTAGAGGTGTACTTTCACAGAATGGTGGACTGTATATTGGAGAGGAATGTTACTGAAAGGAACTTAGGGGTCTTGCTGGACAGCCAGCTGAACATGATCTTCCAATGCAGCATGATGGCTAAGAAAGCCAGCATGATCCTTGGATGTATTTGCAGGGGAATACAGAATAAAGGGAGTAGGGAATAAGAGTAGGGAGAAATTATTACTACAGAATACAGTATTAGAGAGACTGTTACTGGAATACTATGTCCAGTTCTCTTGTCCACACCTCAGAGGATATTGGCAAATTGAAAAGGGTTCAGAAAAAAAAAATCTAAGAATGATTTAAGGTCTAATCTGCCTTACAGATTCTATTTATCCTAGAGAAGGTGAAGTGATTTGGTCACAATCTGTAAGTACTACATGGGCAAAGATCTCTGATAGTAGAAGGCTCTTTAATTTAGCAAACAAAGTCATAACAAGATCCAATTGTTCTTATAATTTATCTTTTATGTTTAGAAAGCTGTCTTTTCGTGGGTAAGAACCTCACTTCTTCAGATGCAAGACTGCAAGACTTCTTGCATCTGAAGAAGTGAGGTTCTTACCCACGAAAGCTTATGCTCCCAGTACTTCTGTTAGTCTCAAAGGTGCCACAGGACCCTCTGTTGCTTAGTACTTAAGAGTGACACATGAAGAGCAGTCTGTTGCATATTCTTGCCTTTTTCTTCAGTTGTTAATTGAATATTTATTTGGTATAAATTTGTAATTTAAGTATGGATGAAATGGAAGCAAATCATTTTATTTTTATTGTATATGGTTTTATTTAATACTTACATTAGATCAGAATATCCATTTTTGAGTGTAGATACAAAGAGAAGAAATAAATCATTTTTGTCAAATTTTAAAAGCTGTATAATCAAAGAGCTGATTTTATATTCACAGGTTTAGCAATAGAAGTTCTTTTGTTTCTTTATGGTACTTTTTAGCTTTGGTGAGTAAGAACTGCATACAAGAATAAAGCGATATTAAACTGATTTGACTAGCAAGCTTTTACTGTTGAAACCTAGAGAGTGTAATTCATATCTTCATTTTCTGAAAAGTATAGTGAAGCTTCATTTTTAATATCTTTATTGGAATATCAGATTTGTGTAAATTAGGAAAAATAGTAATTTAAATATTGTGTGTGCATGCAGGTAGTACTTACTGCTGGGTGTACTTTAAGAATAGTTTATTTTTAAATTGAGCTGTTGTTTACAAACCCAATCCTGCAAAGGTACTGGTATGACTAGCTTTCTTCCACAGATATGGCTGAAATTCACCCTTGTGCAGGGGGCCCACACAGTGTCTTAAATCCCACTTAATCCTTATTTTGAGAATGTAAGTGGTGGGAAAGCCTTATGCCGTCCCTCTGCACTGAAAGGGATTTCATTCATGTGTGGGAGGAAGCATACTTGAAGGAGCGACTATTTGTAGGTTCAGGCCCTATGTTCACATCCAAAAAACTGCAAAACATTTAGTTTTAAATTTTAAAGCAGCAGGGACCATTACAATCATCTACCTTGACATTCAATATAACATTTGGCCATCAAATTTCACCTATTTCAAGCCCCCATAACTTCTGGCTAACCTATGGCATAACTTAAAATATCCAGTCTTAATTTAGAGACTAGAGCCCATATCCTCAAAAGGAGTTAGGTCCCAAGTGTCCATGAAAATCAATAAGAGTCAGGCAGCTAAGTGACAGAGAATCCTTCACATCCCTAGGTAGGTTGTGCCAATGATTAATTACCTTCCTTGTTAAAATTTTGTCTAACATCTGCTTCAAGTGATGTTCTATTTGAAACAAAAGTTGTTATGGAAGCAGCCTCCAAACTATCATGGCCTGTGTCACAGCAATAAATCAGTCAAAAAAACCAAACAAACCTCTCAGTACTTCTTCCTACTGGTCTTTAACAATCCTCTACTATCTGGCCATATCTATCAAGTATAAAATCTGGCACGGAGGCTTTTTTGTGGATGCAATTAAAGGACATAATGTAGTTTACCTCTTGTATAAAATTAATTCAGACATCAATAAAATCTCTATTGTCTAGAAATTAATTTTCATTTAGAATATTTTGTCACCCATAATTTATATTGTGCTATTGAATTTTAGTGATCCTTCAAAATATATTTTTTAAAGTTATAGAATTAGTAATCTATGCAGCTACCCCAAATCAGAAGTAGAATCAACCACCAAGAGTTTCTCGCATAGTACATTTTCAAACTAAAACCAAAAGCTTCACCCAAAACATCTGAATATCTGAGTTACTACTTCCCTAAAATGTTGCAACCAAAATACAGCATCCTCCGCACTACTGATCATAAGCATATTTTACAGTACTTCAAGGTAAGTTTTTCAAAATAAAACACGGTATTTCCCCCACCAGAACACACAATCAAATTCCATGTTTTCCTACCTCAATCAGGAAGTCTCCAGTTCTCAAGCCAGCTTGCCATGCTACTCCCCCTTCGTCCACAGATTCCAGGTACTGCAAAGCAGGAAAGGCTGGAGTTGGGGTGAATTCTTCAATAGGTGTATCAGCTTTGAAAATAAATGTCATATTACAAATAAACAACACAATATTTGCAACTATAATTTTACTGAAAAAAGACTATCATTATGATTATGTAAGGCCAAAAACATATTAAGTACTAAAAGTAAACTAGGCCTCTGCCTCACAGATAATCTAGATACAGGCAATCCCTTGGCCTTGGTACTCTACAGTTCTCCATTTCTGAGAAGTATATTCCCTTTTATTGCCACATAAAGCAATAAAAATGTGTAACAGTAGTTCAATTTTGATAGTGAATGTCAAGGCCTTTTGGAAATGTAGTATATGTTAAAATGCCCATCTCATTCTCTGAAAGAACTGACTAACATGGTTTATGATCTATAGCTGTAAGGAAAAGTCTTATCAACATTAAATGAAAATGTAAAAATCAAGCTAAGTTATTCTTTATATTTATTTGCATCTCAAAACATGAGCAGAAGAGATATCAGTTTCTACAGTAAGAGAAGGCACAGCAGTTGGTAGCAGCCCTGTATCAGAAAAGATTTAGGATTAGTAAGGGCATTGGATCTTTCACCTGAGGAACTCGGACTTGTGTGTGAGAGAACATGAGACTGACTGAGAAATACTTGGGATTACACAGAGGGTGTAACCTGTTTGCTGCATAGACAACTCATGCCAGTTAATCAACAAACTGGTAAAGACATTGACTTTCCTGGACGTCCCCACACACATGCATTTAACCAGGAGGACAGAATAAATGCTTTTACTGCTATTAAAAAAAGAAAGATCGTATTAATAATTTTAGTGAGGTAAGATAAAAATGGTGTCCCCAGAAGGAGGGTGTGGAATATCCTTCATGACCACATGTGGGCAAACCTTGGAGCCAGGCAGGGCAAGGGAGAACCCACAGAAAAACTGAGGGGGAGCAAGAGATGGGACATACCATCAATATATTTTTAAACATAAAAGGAGTAAAATTTACTGTCACTGAAGCTTAAGTTAAAAAGCAGAGCACTAAATGTAAGGCTTTACCCTTAAGAATCCTCTAAAAGTAGATTTTAGTCTAAGAAAAAGGTTAACATTTTAACATATGAAGAAAAGCATTTTTTGGAACACACTACAGGCCATGCAACATATGTGCAGCTTCTGAAGAAATAAAAAAGGATCATATTTTCATACTAAAATTGTGCCAATGTCACCTTGCACAAGGTCCACACCTATTTTAAGCAAAACCCTCACTGGCCTTTTCTATTTGCTATTCATGGAGATAATTTTAATAGACTGACATTTGAAATACATAAGGTAAGAATTTTTTTCATCTGAAGCAAGACACCTGTAGTTTGGCTTAAATAGATAACAGAATAGATACATGGCAAAATGTTGCAATTGCCCTGGAAATAAAAATAAAACTAAAACTTTCTTCCCAAGGAAGATTATAAATGGGACAGCTCTGTACAAAATCCAAACTGCTCAAACAGAAACCACTAAAATCCATCTGAGTAGCACAGCATACAGCAAACACTGTTGTCTAGCAACCAAGTGCACCAAGAATAATTCGTTTATTTAGAGGTGTGTGTGTATATATATATATAAAATATATATTTTTACACATGCACACAGAGACACACAGAAAAATACATACCTTTTGCCCCTCTGAGCACAAATCCAAAACCTTCATTGTCTTTTTTCTGCAGGACCACTGCCTTTTCTTCTATAATGCAGTCACTGTAGAGAGAATTCCGAGGATAGCGACCATTATTACATCCCTTCATCACCACTGTAGTAGCTGCTCCTCCAGTGTGCAGGTTCATCATCATCACAGCCAGTTAATCAAATAATATTGCAGTAACCAAGCATGGAAAAAAAAATATAGCAAACAATGTGGAGAAAGACAAAAGACAAAGCTTAATGGTAAAAGAGAACATGACAATGCAACTTAAAGGGAATGAAAAGGCAGAGAGAGGAGAGAAAGAGGAAGAAATCATGCATGGTGGTTTGTGTTCTATATGAATGACTGAACGAATGTGTGATCATGTCATCTGTGGGTTAGCTAGGATTCTAAAAGAAAAGAAAGTAAGTGAGCTGAATGACAATATCATTAATAAACTCCTCAATCATGGATGTACCAGATGCATCTTCTAGTGAAGCCAAAATGAAACCAACCAGAAGAAAAATGAGGCAGCATTTTAAAATTTAAATTAGATCTGTTTTCTGTATTAGCTAGCTAAAAAGGCACAAATATAGTCAGAAAGCTATGCCTTGCATCAAAAGCCCTTTTTCAATCCTATTGAATGTTGCATGCTGCAAGAATCCCACATGATCATCTGACAACCTACAATGCTAACAACGTGCAGCTGCCTTGGCGTCATCAAGCACAAATCTCCACAGCATCAAGAATCTGCATAACTGAAATAGTAACAAGGCAAGTGCAATCATGAAAACAAATTTTTTAAAAATATTTCATATTCCTTGCAAAGCAGAGAAATGCTATAAAACAAACAGGGAGATAGTAAAAAGAAATCCATGCAGACAGTATTTACTTAAAGAAAATGTAGCTTTAAGATTCTAGCTCACGTTATCAAAGAAAAAAGTAGACACTGTATGAAGAAAATGCAGTTTTGCAAAATAAGCAAATAAAAACAGGCTTTGCTTGGATATTTTTTAAAATATGCAAGCCTAGCTACAAAGATTTAAGGGGCCTGAACTCTCCCCCCCACCACACACACACCTTTCTTTCATCAGTACAAGGTAATTAGAATTAGGTTAATAAGAAGTGAATACAAGGTAAGAATTAAACAATTTTAAGCACAGCTATGAAACACAGATACTACTGCTCATTAAATGGCGTTTTCTAAATAAGGACAAGGTTACAGGTTAAATAATGAACCACAAACAAAATGTACTACAAAACAGTGCTGCGGGGCTTAAAACTACACTACTAGTAAAGATGGAAGTAAATACAAGCTAGGAGTGAATTTTAATTCTCACTGTTACATACATGCTGATCAACTTCAAAAAGGAGATGCTTGAGGGAACCTTGAAACAGCACATTTGGCTGTTACTGCTCACCTATAGAATCCAGTCACTAAGGCTTCTTTTGCAGAAGGGAGGGACGCATTCACTATTGCAAGAGATTCAAACTGTTTTGGTACTATTATAAAAAGAACCAAGAGAGGGATGAACTCTGATAAAGAAAAAATGGTGGGAACTGCATATTTAAAGCTCTGAACAGAGACGTATGATTGCATCATGACACTAAAATACCCAGAACTAACACCAATGGACACCTTCCAAACTCTAGCGCATTCATATATTAAAGACAGTTTCTTATAGCTCAGCTTCACTTTACAGAAGTGCATTTTACAGGCACTTCAGGTAGAAAAATGACAATGAAGGTAAGTATGAGACGTGACATGCAAGATTTAGCACCCACCCTCTTTCCATTTTGGATCCCACCACCAATATTCCAGTGCCAAAGCAACCAGCTGAATTTCCCCAGCAGTAATGTTCTTTGCAGTGTTGGTGTCGCTGTGTTGGTCCCAGGAGATTAGAGAGACAAGGTGGATGAAGTTAATATCTTTTATGACCAACTTCTATTGGTGAAAGAGACAAACTTCTGAGATACACTTTGGCTCTGGGAAAGGTACTCAGAGTGTCATAGCTAAATACAAGGTGGAACAGGTTGTTTGGAATATCTGTAAACTACTTATGCTAAAGAGACCATTCAAGACTAAGCAGCCTGTTAATACCTCTGCAGCCAGAGAGCAAAAAAAGGGGGCTAATGGGTTACAGATTGCTGTAATAATACATATTAAAGACACTGGATTATGGCTACTTACAATAATGTAAATCATGCTGTTACATTTTAAGAATACCCAAACAACAGAAAAGCAACAAATAAAGATTTGAGAAAATGAATAAGTGGCCATTCTCTCCTCTACCCTGCAGGAAGGAGGGACTTGCCTTGACCTTATGGCTGTCAACTAGTGTCTCAGAACAGAAGTTAAGAGTGGGACAGAGTAGGCATAAATTGATTGATGTTTTCACTGCTTCAGAGCCAGGAATCCAATAGCAGTAGAAGAATGAGCAAGGGAAGCTATCAATAGGCAACAAGCTCATTTTTTCCATCCCATAAGACGACAAAACGTCTAAGCATAAATGGTTTCCAATATAGTTTCCTTTGTTTATTTTGTCCTCATGGGATTCTTTTATCTAATATTATGCAGGGTGTATTCAATTTATGCAGATCAAGACATGCTGGAAGCCTGTTTGCAGTCTACATGGGTCTAGCAGACTAAATGGTGCCCATCCCGTAACTAAGTCAAATTATCATGGATCAAGCCGCCTTGGTAGCACTCCCTCAATCCTGAAGGTTGTGTGAATACTTAGCTACAGGGTATTCATATAAAGCAGTGGGTCTCAAACTTTTGTACTGGCGACCCCTTTCACACAGCAAGCCATTGACTGCGACCCCCCCTAATAAATTACACACACTTTTTAATATATTTAACACCACTATAAATGCTGGAGGTAAAGCGGGATTTGGGTGGAGGCTGACAACTTGTGACCCCCTATGTAATAACCTCATGATCCCCTGAGGGGTCCTGACCCCCAGTTTGAGAACCCCTGGTATAAAGCCTTAACTACCAATGATGAGTAAGACACGCACATGGTGCTGTAGGCCCATTCAGAGGGCTCGTCTCCAACAGATAAAAGGAACATTTTCCACAGGCTGTTTGAGTAGACCATATGGCTCCGCATGAGACTGAGTGGTCCCTGCTATGATGATGACTATACGCCAAACTCCAGAAGGTAAAAAACACGTGAATTTAGGTTTGTCCTGTTTTGAACTGAAATTAAGGAACAGACATTTAAGAGAGGAGTTCATAGGGTAATGTTAGTTTTTCCCACTATTAGATTATGGCTGTCAGGTTAATAGTACTAAAATTGATAGGTTATTAGTTGTACAGGGCATTAGTTACCTTACCACTGGACTGGTTAAACCTGACATACGTCATATACAAGATGAAATGTAATTAGATTCTGCTATAGAGTGCTGGCCATTGTTTTATATAGCATATTTCCCCCCCCAAATGGGCCGTTTATCAGATAGGTTTAACCTAGGCCTCTTCACTCCCCCACAACAGTTCATCAGCCCCTAATTTTGAACTATTATTATCTGGCAAAAAAACCAAAGTCCTAATTCTAAATCTGTTGGTGTTTGTGGGATTTAACAAAACAGACTACCACACTACTGAAGGAAAAGTTATTATATAAAACATACTCCTCTACATGTATGTAACTCGTTTTAAACCTGAACCATTTTGTGAGGTACACAAAAATTAGGGATTCTTACAGACTGGGACACTGAGGAAAGGAGGTTAGGTGTTTTGTCCATAGCAACAGAGAGAAATGCAAGTGGCCGCTTTGTACACATCTAATCTCTCCGAAGGTAGAGAAAAGCTAGCTTTTATCCATTCTAGAGTAGCTCTCAGTGTAGGTTCCCAGTTTCCATTCTTTTTAACAGTCCATGTAGGCAGCTACATTTGAATTCTAATACTGCTTGAGTAATGCAAGAAATCCCAAATTGCAGCTCACTGATATTCCTGAGATTTGAGGCAATTCCTACAGTATATTTTATTGCAAGATACAATGAAATTCCAGTGAAGTACAAGTTCTGCCACTGCTGGGATGGGTCAATCTGACTTACTATTTATAGGTATCTCCCTTACTGTAATGAACTCAGGAACGAGAGGCTGATTCTAGTAATTAAGAACGTCAAGATTAATGAAGAGACTACATTTGATTGCTTGAATTTCCCTGGCCATTGATCATCCAGCTGTGCAATTCACTGTAGCAAAATGTAGAGATAGAATAATTCATTGAGCAGCTATTAATTATTTTCCAGTGGCAAGAGTGCATTTGGCACTATACAGAATAAATGGGAAGATACACAAATGGTCCCTGTCCCAAAATGCTTACAATCCAAATAGAACCAGCATGATATTGTGTTAGACTTATCTTCTAACTTTTAGTAGTCTCTCTGCAGTACCTCCCATGCAGGGATCTCTGATTGTGCTGATGCTTATTTAAATGTACATGCGGATACTAAATTCTGGTTATTTTGTAAAATAATTATATGATAGGCACAAGAACTACGGAAGCTTGGGAAATAGCATCTCTGGTTGCAATTTACTCTTTAACCTCTCTACCATGTAGTCTTTATGTGTATACTCCCCACATGACCTTAACTACTGGATATGTTTTAGCATTATTATTTTTGTTTTTATGAAGCATGTTTTTTTCTTTTTGCAGAATATATATAGCTGTTTTATGTATTTTTATTTCTTCTAGTACTATTTGCTTTTGCAAGGCAATTGCCATAAACAGAATAAAATCTAGCAGAAGCAAATTTTATTAAAATATAAAGCATGACTAGGGTTTGTCTCCCCCCATGTTTCAAACACACATGGTTTCAACAGAATAAAAGTCTACTCTTGCTAAACCATTTCAGTTTGTCATTTTTGCAAGAAGAAAGGGAGAGACAATTTACATTGAACTCTTCCTTTTATATAGAATAGCAGAAATCCTTTTGGTTGTTAAGAGCAAGACTTTTTAGGTGGCACTAAGAAAATCTAACTTACGGATCTTTAACCGTGATCAATTTTCTGTATGGACAGTAGCAAATATTACTTTTCAAGACATAATTCCACTGAAGGAAAATG